CAGCTCCTATGAGGACATGACTGGTATAATAAATGAGAAATTGCTTCTCTAATTCTTCTCAAATGAAGACTGAACTAATAGTTTCTGGGCCGACTTCCAGGTAAAATGATAGTTTTTCCTTCGGCTTCAAACTTTGCAACAGTGGCAGAGAGATTAACGACTGCTTCAAATTCTATAAAACTTACTTACATTAGTTTGTCTACTCAAACTTCTTCATTTTCCTTAGCAATTTGAATAATGTATCACATTTGCCTCCTTTTGGAAATGAATCTACTCAGGGTTGCAATCCAACTAGTGAGATTTTTCACTTCTTTGGTGTTCCAGGGAGAATGCATGTCAAGGGGTGCTTTCACTTTCTCGGGATTAGCTTTGATGCCTTCGGGTTTTAAGAGGTATCCAAGAATTTCCCATTGAGGCTCTAAACAGGCATTTTATTGGGTTTAATTTTATATTGAACTTGCTAAGCATTTGGAAGGTTTCTTTTAAATCACACAAATGTTGTTCATGCCATCTTGCTTTTCACTAACACATCATCCACATAGAACTCAATGTTTCTTCCTTTTTATTCAGAGAAAAAAAAAACTACATCCATTAGGTGCTGATAAGTTGTTCCAGCATTTTTCAACCTAAAGTGCATTACAATAAAATAATTCAATCAATCACTAGTAATCAAAGTCGTCTTTTCCACATCGGTTGAACACATTTTGATTTGGATATATATGAATAAGGAGTCGAGAAAACTCATGACTGAGTATCCAACTACAGAGTCAATCAAATGATCAATATGGGATAGTGGATAGCCGTCCTCGGGCATGCGATGCTCAAATTTGTGAAGTCCACACATTTTTCATTTGCCATTAGACTTTCGCACCATGACTATATTGGATACCTAAAGAGGGGAATTAAACATCCTGAATGTACCTGACATCTAAAATTTTCTTGACTTCCTCACAAATTGGTTTGGCTAAAGACATCGTTATTGAACGGAGCTTCAGCCTTACCGACTGTTGGTTGAACTGACGTTGAGTCGGTGAAATGTGACATTGATGGGAATGCCAAGCATTTTGGCTGCCGACCATGTGAAAATATCGTGTGTTCTTGGAGAATTTGAATCAATGCACCTTTGTGACCTAGATCAAAGGTCCTGCTAAATAGAAAAAAAATTAGTAGGGTCAACTTGGTTTGTCGGGATTTGGGTGATAGTCTCGTTAGTTTCAGGGCCGCCTTCTCATTGGTGATGTATGTCCAATCTTTCGTGCTCCACACTTTCTATGGCTCACATGTTAACATGTTTGGGGTTGCACCAAATCTATACGCACAGTGACTATCACCCCATCACAGTAAAATTTCACAACTACAAGGTAAGTTGACACCACAACTCATAAATTGTTGAGGAGAGGCCGTAGGCTGATTGTGTGTCAACCACCAGAAAATCCTCCATGTTGGTAAATTGATTGTCACCTTCTCCACAAGTAACAGAGAGTGTTATTACTCCAAGTGTCTCCTTTCGTTCACTGGAGAAACCATACAGTGGGTTGGCCGGTGTAGTTAACCGATCGGTTGTCAGGTTCATCTTCTCAAACGCGACCCAAAATAAACTATTCCTTGAGCTCTCAGGATCAATCAGGAAAACGCCTACCTGATAATTACTGATGAGTGATTTTACAATAATGACATCATTATGTGGTTTTCCGACTAGAGAAAGGTCTGCGTCGGTGAAATGATTGGAGGATGTGGCTTCCTCTTCGAAATTGGCATGACTATAAAGTAATTTCCTGTTTGACTTCTTTTTTGATCGAATCTGACGTCCAAATCGCCACCCAGTATCTCCATTTTGGTTCGCATGGAGGCTTGCCTTGCTGCCAAGTTTGAGCCTCTGATGCTACAAACTCTTTGAGCTTTCAGGCCTGGATTACCTCCTTTATTAGGCTGAAATTGTGCCAACATTCTTTTGTATCATGGTCGTGGTCTCGGTGATATTTACAAAATTTGTTTGGATTCTTGAGGGAAGCTTCGTTTTTCATGGGAGTCATTTTTCAGAAATATTCCTTGTCTCCTATTTCTTCTACGAGTTCCACCATAGAAACTTGAATTAGGGTAGTCCTGGATGTCCTTCGATCTCCTATCGATCAGTCATTCAATCTGCTACATATGTGATCATCTTGTTCTTCTTCTTTATCTCTTTGGGAAGAGCAATCTCTCTCACGTTTCAGGCGAGGACTGTATTTCTCTCTCAATCCGTCGTCCTTCTTGTTGTGCTTTACCCATATGTCAATTCGATTTCTTGCTTTTGGTAATCAGTTATATTATTTGGTTATAATATGATCATTAGATAGTTTTAAGAATTCAACCAACGTTCGGGCTTCCTTAAACCCAAAATGTATTGAAAATGTTTACTCTTCAGTCCTTGTGCCAGTGCTGCTTTAGTAACCACTGTCTCCAAGTTCTGAAACTCGAGCATCTCCTTTTAGAACTTTGTAACAAAAGGCTGCAGACTCTTGTTTGGTCCCTGTTTTTTATAGCACAAGGAATTTTAAACCTTTCGTGGCTTTTTGACATTGGGAAACTGCTTAAAAAAATTCATGAAGTTTTCAAAATAATAAATAATTCATATGGGAAGCTCATTAAACTAGCTGAGAGCGAAATCTCTTAGCGTGGTAGAGAACAATCTTCATATTAATGTGTTGAAGATCTAAGGCAGATTGCCGACTCGAATGATGCAATATGGTTGATAGGGTCGCTTCGACCTTTTTATGGTTCTAGGATGGGAATCTTAAGCTTCTCAAGTGGCTTGGCTTCCACAATATGCTGGGCGAACACATTCTATCCTCGTTGTGGTCATCCCCATTACGCAAGTCTGGCACTATCCTTATACTGAGACTCTTCCACTCGCTTTGGCGCTGGTGTTGCCTGTTGAACTGGATGTTCGGGTGCTGGTGGTTTGACTTGCGAGAGAGGTTGTGCCCTTTCTCCAAGCACTACTCAGGCCAGTTCCGCAATTTGCCCGGTCAGTCAGTCATGAAGCACTTATATTTGTCGTTGTAAAAATTCTCGGACAGTATCCATGTTGGAGCTTTCTCCTTGATGCCTTCCTTCACGCTCACGTGCTCCTCATCTTGTAGAAGACATAATTCCACACTCACTATACTTTTTAAGATGTTGAATCATAAATTGTCCCATGAATTACGCCTAATGAATATGGTGTTGGTTGGATGAAAAAGAAAAGTAAGATAATTTGAGCACTTTGTATTTTTGTGAGAATTCTGTTCAAAGTATCCACTTTTGAGAATGATCATCTTATTTAGAGTGCATAGTGTGAGATCTCCTAAGTGACATGGTTGTCCCCTTTTGAAAGAAGAACATCACCATAATTAATGAGCCAATACATTACACATTTGCAATTGAATATCATTTAATCTGACCCCATAACTGCCATTAACACCATTATATTTTAGTAATTGTTATAAACATTGCTTCACATTCGTAATTGCCCAATTCAGTTGCTTGGAGTTTGTTCGGCCGACCATGATTGATTTGACCGTCATGACATCAATCAATCGACTTTAAAAATCTTCGATTGCTCATTCTATGGAGACTGAAGGTGAAGGCATATCAACTAATGGTTTGCTAGGTAAACGCCTGTCAACCGTCATAACATCCATCAATCGACTTTAATAATCTTCGATTGCTCGTTCTATGGAGACTGAAGGTGAAGGCACATCGCCCTTGGATAAGATTATTTCATCAGGTAGAGGGTGAATCACCGTAATTCCACAAACAACTTATCTTCAGTCTATGTGTCTATACTAAAGTACTTATTCTCGTGCAACAATTGACTTTCGCGTTGGAAGTTACCCCGGAAGTAGGTGTTGATGTGACTCTGGTAATTGTTGGGCCGCTTATTCCTTTCATTCGATCGTCCTTCCAAACCGACCAATCGTTTGCACGAATACTTCATATTCTTTGTCTCTAATCATTTCTCCTCAAGATTCGTGTAGGCACATTCCTAATATACATCTATCATAATTATTTTTATTATATTTTGCATATCAACTAATGGTTTGCTAGGTAAACGCCTGTATTGCACTATGATCTAGGGTAAACCATATTTAAAATTTTGTTCATATTCGAAATGAATCTTGTATGAAAAAGTTTTACATGATTCAAATGATCTTGAAACACTCTTCAAATATTATTCGAACTTTATTCCAATTATATTCAAATAAGATTCAAATAAAATTTGAGTAATAATCAAATCCTATTTGAACTTTATTAATACAAATTTCAAATATAATTCAAATAAAATTGGCATTATATTTCAATTCTATTCAAATTTTGTTCAAATTATTATTAAGCAATCCATGGTAAAAGAAGAGTCCATTTAATGATTTTTAAAATTAAATAAAAACACATTTGATTAAATCAAATTATTCCGAGATTCATAAAATTAAATTTTTTTAAAAAGATTTTGTTTTTGTTTTTGTTTTTTTTTTTTTTTTTGCCTATTTCTTGAAACACTCGTTAAAGATTGTTCGAACTTTATTCCAATTATATGCGAATAAGATTCAAATAAAATTTGAGTAATAATCAAATCTTATTTGAACTTTATTAATACAAATTTCAAATATAATTCAAATAAAATTGGCATTATATTTCAATTCTATTCAAATTTTGTTCAAATTATTATTAAGCAATCCATGATAAAAGAAGATTAAATTAAATTATTCCGAGATTCATAAAATTAAATTTTTAAAAAGGTTTTGCTTTTTTTTTTGCCTATTTTTATCTAATTCGTTTCATGGAAATAGGCGAAAATCAAAAGGCCCTCCGGCGTCGACGCCTTCGCTCAGTGGTGGGCCCTACCTTGCCCACGTGTAAAGAGCAGCGCATAATAATCCTCCGACTTACATGGGCTTTCCGGCGCTTCCGCTATAGCTAACAGCCATCAGCTGTTCGGTGTTCGGACGTCAGACTTTCTATCACATCCGATGGAGGAGAAGTGGAGCAAGAGAAACCATACTAAATAAATAAATAAGAAATAAATATTCCGCAGGCGGAAAACGTATAGTCGAGTCTGTAAGGTGAAAAGAGGAAAAGAAGGGAGGATTTACATCTAAAATATCCAAATATAATTTGTGCTCTACTCGTCGCCCGAAGAGGAAGGAGAAAGGGAGTAGAGGGAGCCGGATGGAGGGCAAGACAACAATCTCGAATGGGAGAAACGGGGAGATGATCTAGGTTTCCGGTGGATCGGGCTTCGATCGAAGGATCTTGCGGCGACGGAGATCAATCTGCGGCGACGGAGATCAATCAGCGGCGAATTTAGGGTTTTCTTGATTATTTGCTTAGTGTGCTTTGATCGGGTGGATGCTCTTCGTGGGAAGTGGTAATGAGGGGAGGAGGCGATCAGTGTTAGGGCTGGAAGGGAGGGGAAGAGGAAGGAGAAGGACGATGGAGGGGAACGAGCTTGAGGAAGGGGAGGCGTGCTATGGGCTGGAGGATGACATCGACCCCGATGATTTATCTTACATCGTAAGAAACTTAATTTCTGCAGCGTTGTAGGCCAGTTATGATCGAGCTGATGGCTTTCCATTGTAGCATCTCTTCATTTTAGTTCGGTTTCAATTGGGAACCTGTGCTTCCCTTTCGTTTGAAACTATTACCCCTTTTGCGAGGTTTAGAAAGATTACAGGATCGCTGCTTGGTTATAATTGGGTCAGCGATCGGTTGTTGCGCTAACAAATTTTCTGCTGTTGGCTTCATTCTCTTTTGTGTTAAATTTCCTTTATTCTTGTTTGTATTGGATTTTCTATTATTTTGATGGATTGCCTAAACACTTACTTTTACGGAAAATGGTAGGAGCTTTTGTCATTATTATTGACCTTCAAAGGGAAGGTGAGAGTTCAAATCCTCTTTAAAATGAAAAAGAAAAAAAAAACGAAAAAAGAAGGAAAAAATACAAAACAAAACAAAAAAATTGACCGGCACCTGAAGTTAACTAGTGCTCTCCTGTTACTGTATATATAGTAGAGCTAACAGTATTGAGCTGGTAGAACTGTTAAGAAGCTGTAATTTATTTTTGTGCTTTGAATTTATGTTCTAAGCGTCTAATCCAACAGAAGTTCTGAACATTGGCTTTGAGCGCTTGCACATTGAAACATCAACTGAATTGCTGTTTAATTTGAGTAATAGAGGAGAGTTGCAAAAATAAACATTGTTCACCATTGTGTAATGAATTCCTTTCTCTCCCATGAGCTTAAATTTCACCTTGCACGCTTATAAAATCATGTAGTAAATTTTATTCCAATGGAACTTTCTTATTGCGTAAAATCATTCCTTGTTCCTTATAGCTGCTTTCAACTTCATATAGGACGAAAAACTCCAACATGTATTAGGGCACTGCCAGAAAGAGTTTGAAGGTGTTGTGTCCGCAGAGACCTTGGGTATGTCAGTTTTAATGAAATGCAAACTAAGAATATATGATGCTAATGTTGACCATTAATGTTGATACGATGTATTGAGAAATTAATTCCTCAACAGGAGCCAAGTTCGGGGCTTATGGCTCATTTCTGCCGGCATATCAGCGCTCTCCTCCAATTTTGTTGTCACAACCTAAGAGCCCCGCTAAGGAGCCAGCCCACAACTTGTCAAGGTCACCGTACAATTCACAACCTGAGGTATGTTTAATCAGTACCTTGCTTTCCTTTAAACTATAAAGGATAAGGGTATCCAGCTTAAATTTTTTAATATAAATTTAACTTTGATACTCTTTTGCTCTGAAGGAAATTATTTAGCTTAATTATCTTATTACTTTTTCATTTCCTGATGGTTTCCAATTCAACACTTGATTGTTTTATGGCATGCATGGTTGCAGTTGTCATGTCAGAATGCTTCTTTTCCTGCAAATGCATCTATCCCTGAGGCCAACAATGCATATAGAGTGCAACCAATTGAGAAATCATGCAAAAAGGACACCTGCATTAACTCATGCAGTACAGAAGGTATTACTCAGTATGAGTCTGCTAAACAGACAATGGATATTAGAGATCCTAAGTCACTCAAGGTGCGCATTAAGGTTGGACCTGACACTGTCTCAACCATAAATAAGCCTGAAATTTACAGTGATTTGGGGCTTGATGTTTCACCATCTCCATCCCATGAGGATAGTCTAGGTGGAAGTAGGGAGCTTTCTTCTGAATCTCCTAATACCTTTTGTGAATCACCGTCCACCATTCTTCAGGTTAATTGCATTTCTATGGGTTATTTGAATTATTTGTTGAATGGCTGGGATTGGGATTTCTTCACTAACCATATTGTTGTTTGTTTTCTAAATGTAATGGGCCAGATCATGACATCCTTTCCAGTTCCAGGAGGTTATTTGCTTTCACCTCTATCAGCGACTCCACTTCATTTACTTGAGAAAGAAGACACGTCTATAGAAAAATTCAAGAGAAGCATGCCATGCAAAGCTGCGGTTGACAATTGCACCGCTTCATCTGACACATCTCTGCATGCAAAAGATGTTAGAGACTTCCCGTCCAAGGAAAAAAAATCAAGAGAGAAGTGTCAGAAGTTAGTGCAAGCACATGTGCTGACCTGCGAGAATGTCATAACTATGTCCTCGAAGAATGAAATCGGAAGCAAAACAGCAGCAGCACAAAAAAATGTTTTGACTGGCCAAGATATGGTGTTGTCATCCAGTGCTCCGTCTGCAGATGCAAACGAGGAGACAGACGTGGGTGGTAATTCCATAAAGGAATGTAGTAAAATGTTTGATATTCATAATGAGCCAAAGAAGATACTAAAGATGGATGGAGCTCATGCACTTGATTTAAGAAAAGATAACCACTTAGATTTCACTGATAACATGGGAATGGATGACAATTTAGATAAGGAAACCATTCCATCGAAGGGAAAGACGGATGCAAAATCTCATTTTACAGAGAAAGCATTTGGAGAAGCGAATGGTAAATTTGTCATTTGCAACAAAAGCAAGGGAAAATCGCAGAAAAATCCTGCTAGAAAGAGAGCTGATTCTGATATATATAAGATGAGGAAGGACTATAATGCTGGTTTTGAGGAACATGTAAGAGAGCAAGCTGCACAAAAAACTTGTTTGAGTGAAAAAACTGTTTTCAAGGTAGTGCAATCCAAGGACCAAACATTTGAGGGTGGAAAAATTATAAAGGGAACTCAAAATAATGAGCCAAACAAGGAAAAAAAGAGCACTGTACTTTCTGGAGCACCTAAAGGAATAAAGAAAATGTCCCATCTGAAAGGTTCACATTTAGAAACCATGTCTAAAATGTCCAAGCCACCAAAGGAGTTGAGCAAAGGTCAAAATATTGAATCTCAAAGTGAACTTTTGATGAATGCTCAAGCTCAACAAGTTGACCACGTGAGACACTTTCTAGGTTCCTCAAGGTCTACTGAAAAATCTAATGAAAAATCTGAAGTCAACAAGGTTCAAAATTTTCCTAGTGCTGAACTTGCTAATGATGCACCCGCTCCCATTAATGATGGTGTACCAAATAATAATTTAGTTCCTGCTTCTCCTGCTTTAGTTCTTATAGAGGATAATTGGGTATGTTGTGACTTGTGCCAACAATGGCGCCTTCTACCATATGGAACCAATACAGAAAGCCTTCCAAAGAAATGGCAATGTAGCATGCAAGTTTGGCTGTAAGTCTCTGTGTGAACCTTAAACATGATTCTTTCTTAGTCTTCAGGTCATACTTTGGAAATAAATCAATTCCCAACGTAAATCTGCATCTTACTTGACATTTAGAGGTAGCTGATCTGACATTTTTATTTGTGATAATCCTCTTAGTTCTGTAATATCCGACTTACATTTCACTTGCAAAATTTTGTTAATTATGTGAATTTATGTTATTTCTGTCAAAATAAGGTAATTTGGAAAATTTTTTAGATTAATTTGATAGAAATTAATCACTTCAATGCTTAAAAGCTTTCAAGTAGATTAATCCACTTATTTCCAATTGAACTTTCATTTATTTTGTTACACTGTATTAAGTTTATTATTTTTTGTGCATGGCATCTGCAGCTGTCTTATTTCACGTGCTCTGGGCACCTCTTCACTGTGATTTAAAAATAAAAAAAAGTAATTGAGCAAATTGGTTCATACTTTGTGAATCCGTTGCTTGCTCTATTTCTATCCAAAAATTACTATTCATTTCTGATGCCATTCATATTATTATAATTTTTTGGCAGTCGAGGGTGAAACCAATCTATCTTTTGAGTGTGGCAAAACTTATTGATATTAAATGTAATTCAAAAAACACTATGATAAAGTTTATTCCACGGGGGTTGCGGGGTGGTTGACAAGGGTATTTTAGCCTCTGTTGGTGTTAAATATAAGCTTACTTTTAGTTTTATTATTCATTAGGTACAGTATTCTCTTAATAGTTGTAATAGCATTAAAAAATGGTATGGAATTTGAAGGAAAAAATTTAGGTTTGTTGGTATGCTTTTTCATATTAACCATGAAGAGGTGAAGGACTGAATAGTCTTTAAATGAAATGCATTGTTCCTCAATAGCTGACAATGTTCATGCGAATTATAAACTAGAAAGGATTTAACGAGAGTGATTATATGAAAGATATTGTGCGAGTAGAACCACCTGAAAGAAAGGATATATGGTAGTAGGTTGACTATTATTATTATTTATCTAATTATTTATGGATCTATTGTTGATGATATTAAAGTTATCAAGGTAATTACTTAAGTAAACTGTTCATTTTACTAGAAGCAATTTTAGCACTTATATTTTTTGTTTTATAATGATGTTTTTTATCTTGAAATATATATGTTCATCAAAGACACCACAATCAAGTGTTTAAGCTTCACATGGAAATGCATTTGAAATTGTGTAAAGGTTAAAGACTGCTTGGCATGCTTTTATTCTCAACTCAAGGTAGATTGTAATGTCTTGAATTATAACAGTAATTTGTAGGTGATACATGCAAGATTGATTATACTACAGTTAGCTTTGAGCCTTGCTCTCTTTTGATAAAAAAAAAACTGTACGTTTCCCATGAATTTATGAAATTAAATTGTAAAAGAAAAATGGCTTATGGTAATTGCATATGGTATTAAATAGAAATTTAATTTGTTTCTAAGTTTGGATAGAATGAAAATCTTAATTATGAGAAGATGATTGAAAGCAGGTATTATTAAAACCTTCTTGGTAAATGTTGAAAGCCTGATTTAAGAACTTCATGCTGTTTGATTACAAGATAAATCTAGGCCAGTGTTATTTTCTTGTCTGCAATGGCAGATGCCAGAGAATCATAATTACAGACATGTATGATATTTGATATTTCTTTGTCATAACTGTTTGTTTAATTCCAATCTGCTGTATGATTTGTATTTCCTAGAATACACTTGAGAAAAAATTAGCGCGGGGCGAACAAGTGCTTATTTGTCCTATTTTTTGAATGAATTTAATATCCCTTGACTAGGAGAGAAAAAAAATGATCAGATCTGTTTGTTGTAATATGTGTATTGATAAGAAGTGAATTGTCTTGACTCTTTTCTCTCTTTGTTTTGTGTTCTATGTTAACATTTTGGATAAGGAATTCACTTCTAGTAGTTTGTCAAGGTTTTCATGCATACTTTCGTTAATGCAAATCCCTTTTGGAATCAATATCAGAATAACCATCGGAACTGGATCAATAAATATAATATTATTGAGTAGTTCCTTGCACATTTGAACATTTTATTTTGTGGTGCATGCATTTTCTATTTGTAATTTTGATTAGCGGCCATATTTCCATGGTATGATTTCTTTTTTAAATGTGTTGGTGTTGTATTCACTTATCATGCAAAGCTGTTTTTTTATGGCCAACCATTTATAAAAAATGGTGTACTCATTTGTATGAGGGCTCTACCAATGATGTGTTTATTAATATCCTTTGCATTGTTGAGGTGCTACTTTCATGATTCTTACCCATGACCTCTTGGTGGTTACAACTGAGCTAGATATTAATCCAAGTCTACCCTTGAGATTTAATTGATGATCCTATGGATGGTTTGATATTAGCATTTGGAAGCTCTTCTCATATTTGATCAAACCGTCTATGTTTTTTTTCTTAGACATTTGGAAGCTCTTCTCATATCTCGTAGCACAATAAAATACAATACATTAAATATTTACATTTCATTGTAAAATATATTAAAAAGAAGAATTGAAATTTTTTTAATGCAGAAGTAAAGAATAGGCGAACTAATATATAGTTTTTTCATAGCCAATAACTTTTGTCCACACCCTAAGTCAAATTCTTAGGATTTTTCATTATATTGTTGTACTTTTGCAACAAAAAAATTGTAAGAAACCAGTCTAGTTCAATATTTAGACAATGAAAAATAGAAATATTATGTTACCCATCGGAAACAAATTCCATAGAATCATCTAAAGAAAAAAAACTAATGTCAGTTATGTTACTCTTATGTTGAATTGAGGGTCCGAAACTTTGGCGACATAGAAGCTACAGTTGCAGTGAAGCTGAAGCGGGATTTTCGCGCTTCAGCAGCATAATAGCTATGGTTGGGGTTGAGGGGACTATTTGGTTGAGCTCCTATGGGTTGAAATAGTGGGAAGCGACAACTTTTGAAGAATCAAACTGCTGGTAGGTCTTCTCCTTGCCGCGCTCCATCGCTCGTTAAATTGCCGAATGTAAGGATTTAGTAAACCCTGGATTTACGATCAAAATCAGTGAAATATGGATTTATCAAATCTCAGGATTTAACTTGTCCAAATTGATCATATAGCGATATTTACCTTAAATCCTCATTAAATTTTTGTGTAAATTGCTTATCAGATAGTCCTCTAGGGAGTTATGTTAATGACAGTTTCCCTTTGACATGCATGATTATCCTGACATCAGTAACTTTTGATTTTTTGGAGAATTTTTTGTGGGGACTTGAGTAATGTGTGACCGTAAATAATAACAAATTTTTTATTTCCACCATTGCTTTGATAAACTAGAAATTGAGAATAATTTTGAGAAATTTTTATATCACGCCCTAACCTATATTCAATTACTCTCTCCCATAACTTTAATGTATGACACATTAACTTAATTCCATATAATTTGCACACTCTTATGCAACCCCTTTATTTTTTAAAAAAAGGAACCAATAAACTCCTCAACTTATCATAAATTTTTTAGCTTTTAAAATAATACTAAAAAGTTTAGTAAGCCAAAAAATTTCCAGATCTCCTATGGAAGCTATACATTTATTGAGAGGTTTGATGGAGAATCATGAAGAGAATAAGGATGACACACACACACACACACGTATATAGAAAAAGCCCAAGGGCTAATATATTATAGAGGAATAGATATACATAGGTTGTATGAGAGGGCCTAAAAGAAAGTCAAACTCACACAATACAACACACACAACTTCAAATAAAATAAAGTTACAAAAAGGATAAAAAACGAAAAAGCCACCAACAGACGCAAAAGTGTCAGGGACGTCCCACTTTAGTCTTCCCCCAGCCTCTAGTTCTCGGAAGGGAGCCGACTAACAGATTGGTAAGGTGTCCCATTACCCGAAGTAACTAAAGTGTCGTTCATCAGATTCTTAAGCTCAAGTAGGACTCCATTCTTCTTCTTTCTACTGGATGTGTAAACCTATTATTCCTCATCCGAGGATTGACTCATCTGATCAATGTATTGTTCCAAAGTTCCAAAGGTGGCCGGACATGTGTAGGCTGTTACACATCATGATTCCTATGAGCCTGAGAAACATTAACATTTTGCTAGACTTGATGAGGCGGTGGTGAAGCATTAAAAGTATTTCCACCTGTAATATCAGTGATAGGTAGAGCAGGTGGGGCCTAAAGAATCTCCCTTGCCCCCCACGATTGGAGGTTCCAAAGACGGGGGAGCTACAACATTGTGTGAAGATTGAATGGTTGACATATTGCCTGCGAGGTTAGTGACGTCTTCAGGGGTATCCTTTTGATGAACAATAGTGTCAATAACTTGGAGCTGAGCAAGAGGAGCTGGATTTTCTGCCTCTAGGGGAGCACTTTGCTTTTTTGGTCTGAGTTGGGGGTGTAGATGGTGGTATTGGGAACTGGAGTGGTCGAACATATGACAGTAAAACTCAATCACTATCTTTTGTCAATATCCATGGTGTTGTGTGCCCAACCAAATCTCTTCAGAAGCGGGTGAAGTGATGTTTCTTTCAACAAGTACTTTTGCTTCAGATGGGCGAGAAAGATTAAAAGTAGAAATGTCCATTTTAAGTAGCTTACCATATGCTGAAACAATAGAGTACAACACTTTTTGAGTGAAATAATAAAATTTCAGACTAGGGAGGCGAATCTAACCGGAATGATTGTGATTCCGTCTGTGGGTCAAAATCCACAGACCATTTCAAAAATTTCATTGCTCTGTTATCGATCAATATAATCCTTCTAGCAAATAAACAAGTGTAATCCTTTTCATTATTAAGTTGAATAAGAGTGTGTCTTCTATCTAAAAGTTCAATTTTACACTCCCTAATAAAGTGCATAAGCTTAAATTTCTTATGAATAAACTCTATTTTGGGATGGTCATAAAGAAATTTTACCATATAAAAATTTCTCGCTAAATTCAAACGACAGGAGGAAGCAAGTTGAATACCTTCAACTTCTGTAAAAAAGATGATATGTTTCTCATTCTTCCTACCATATTTCTTGTTGTCCTCTTCTCACTCAAACGAATGAGAAAAAATCACGATTTAGGCGCACCTGAAGCTTGGGCACCCGCAAGGGCTGCAACAAACGATCTGTCCGAAGCCATCCCCAATAGATGGAGGTGCAGAGAGCAAATTACGAAACCAAACAGGGAGCAAATTCATTACAAATCAGCTCCATTTTGGGAAGGGCATACAAAAATTTCCCGACCAAATTCAAATGATAGGAGGAAGCAAGTTGAATACCTTTAACTTTTGTAAAAAAGATGTCATGTTTCCCATTCTTCTTACCAGATTTCTTGATGTCCTCCTCCCACTCAAACGGAGGAAAATATCACGATTTATGCGTACCTGAGGCTTGGGCACCCGTAAGGGCAGCAACATACGATCTGTTCGAAGCCATCCCAATAGATGGAGGTGCAGAGAGCAAATTACAAAACCAAACAGGGAACAAGGAGCGGAGGAAAACCCCTCTGTGAGCTGCAGACGACCAGCTAGCGACAGCTAAGAGACGCCCCCGAGCACTTCTCGGGACGACGCAGAAGCCCGCACCCAGACATCACTCAAAGGCCGCAGCGAGAGGCAACTGAGAGATGCTGAATCGGGACGACGAAACACGCTGAACAGAAGCCCTCAATCCCGACGGCCTATCGAGAGAACCGCTTGACAACAAAATAGAGCCGCTGCGACGCGACGGATAATGACTGGCGACGAAGACGAAAAGGACGAGGACGAAACAATTCAACGAAAATGCAGTGAATAAGAAAAACCAGGGATCTCTATAGGCAAACCTTAGCAGAGCGAGAACGAGGACGAGGATCGCCGTAGACATACATACATACATACATATGATTTTTATTGATTTAGAAAAAGCTTATGATAATGTCAAGAGATGTATTTTGGAGAGTTCTAGAAAATAAAAGTGTTGATATTGCTTATATTCAAGTCATTAAAGATATGAATACATTGTTACTCGTGTTCGAACATAAGGAGGATTGACCAAGCATTTCTTATTTTAGTTGGATTACATTAGGGATCAGCTTTAAGCCCATATCTTTTTGCTTTAGTTATTGATGTTCTTACTGGACATTTACTATATCTTGGTGTATGCTTTTCGTTGATCATTTCCTTTTTGTGGCTAAGACTAGACAAAAAGTTCAAGAACAACTTGATTTATGGAGGCCAACTTTAGAGTGTAATGGCTTTCATTTGAGTAGACCTAAAACTGATTATATGGTATGGAATTTTAGTAGTAGTAAATTTAATGGCTGGATGGTAATAATTGGTGATCAAGTAATTAAAATGAGTGAACGTTTTAGTTCTTGGGTCTATTGTTCAAAGGATGGTGATATAGATGGGGATTTTAAATTCAAGTTGGATGGGTGAAGTGGAGGAATGATCGGGTCTATGGTGTGATAGAAAAGTATTGTATAGAATTAAAAGTGAAATTTTATAAGATGATGGTGAAACCGGCAGTGTTTTATGGCGCAGAAAGTTGGCCTGTAAAAGAGAAACATTAAATTAAGAGTTTCTAAGACGAGAATGCTCTGGTGGATTAATGGTTGTACTCATAGGGACACAATGCGAAACAAATATATCCGAGAAAGGGTTGGAGTAGCTCCAGCGACAGACAAGATTAGAGAGAGTCTCCTTAGAGGGTTTGGTAACATTAAACACTGACCATCTGATGATTTACTTAGGAAAATAGATGTTTTAGATTTGACTTATGTTAAGAAAGGTAGAGGTAAACCCGAAAAGAAATGGTTATGTTAAAAATGATTTTAATTTATTAGAAGTAAATGGAAATATGACACTCAATATGGCACAATGAAGAAAAAGTATTCATGTAACAGACCACACTTAGTGGGATAAAAAGGCTTCTTGTTGTTGTCGGGACTTGAGTAATGGGTAATTTTCCTTTTGTAAAATTTTTGTAAAACTCAAAAAGTTTTCTTATCCAAATCCTTAAAATGAACTACCAAATCCCATGTTTTCCCGTTCATACACGCAGGTCATAAAATTTGACAAACTAAATTAATTTTTGTTATACTTTTATTGATTTAGGTGATGGTTTTGCAAATAAAAAAATCTGGTGTTAGTTTTGTAAATAAGGAAAATTTGGGCAATACATGAACAATTCTTTCTATTTCTCTCTCCCTTCCCCTCTCTCAGAGGATTGTGGAATTTATCTATTAGATACTTTTTCCATATTGAAATAATCTGTCAGCCTTGCCCTTATTCATACCGAATCATGCCAGTAACCTTGTTTGTGAACAGTGTTTTCTCAAGAAACATTGATCAGTATGGCTGTTTATTTTTGTTTTACCCTGTCGGCATCTTATTGAGATTTTGCGCTTTAGCTGTAACCATTGGCTATATTTAATTGTTAGTCTTGATTTATTGAAGGCTAGTTTTTTTGCCTCTTTTTGAATTGGGTCTTTTAAACAGGCCAGGATTGAACAGTTGCAATGTCAGTCAAGATGAAACAACAAAAGCTTTCCATGAACTTTATCAATTTCCTGCTCCTGGGAGTGAACCCAATTTGGCTGGCCATCTTGCTGCATCAAGCGTAACTTCAGCTGACACCCAGAATCCAGGTAGAGGACTGGAAATTTTTTTGAAAAAGCATGGTTCAATGGATGCAACAGATTTGCCAATTGAGTCAGCTTTGACATACTTACCAAATTCTTCGAAGAATATTTTTGTATCTTCTGGGTATAAAGACTTCAATGATGCAGGCTATTGTATGGGAATGGCCTCCTTGATCAAGCCTAAACCAGCGTTGAAAGGCAGATCTGTCGATATTGCAGCAGAAAAACGCATCCACAAACAGAAGGAGAAACTTAAAACAGAGCCATCTTTTAAAGTTGGAGGTTTTTGTTTCCTTCTCCAAGCTTAGCTTAATCTTACTTTGTTTCGGAACTGCTACTTCATTTTCTTCTCTCTACTTTTGGCATTTACAATTTGCTAGCATTTATAGCAGCTTCTCATTTGTTTTTTTTTTGGGCTAGATCTTCCTTTTCTTCCCTCTTTTTTGACTTTCAGAAATAGTTACCATTTGTAATAGCATACATGTTTTCATAATTTGTGATATATATATTTTATATCATTTAAATTTTTAAGCAGGTGATTCAGCTGAAAGATTGGGTAAATATTCAAAGCCCATGAACAAAAGAGGAGCTGATGTAGATGGTCATAGACTATCCAAAAAATTTAAAAAAGATGCCTCGTACCATTCTACAAAGGATGTACATTCTAGTGTTGATATGTCAAGTAAAATTGTTATCAATGGGGATACTGAATTTTTGACAAAAGTTCCTAGGAATACATCACAAAATTACAGCGATCATTTTCCTTCCAAGGGTTCGAAGCCTAAATCTGCATCATCCAGAAAATCAATGGAGCAAGTTAATTCTTTTAATGGGAAACATATGGAAATTTCTAGTGCATCAGAAGCAGAAAAATCTGATAAGTTTGAATCAAATGATAAGAAGAGGAAACTAAAAGAGTGGCGCGAGGAACAGGCTTGCCAGGAAATTTCAGTGAGCGGTGAACAGGCTGCTGGCAGCAGGCCTATTTTGAAACAATCTTTGATTGACAGCGAGTTGAGAAGGCACAAGAAGGTCAAGGTGGCAAAATCTGAGGGGAAAGA